AGTTGTAGTCGGGATGTCAGAGCCAAGGACAGCAAAAGGATTAGATGCCGGAGTGGCTCTGGGAGGGGTAACAACAGAGGAGGCTGCAGAAGATGGGACCCCAGAAGTGGGGGGATGTTTTGAAACACGAGAATAAGAAACACGGGGTAGTCTCCCTTGGAGGTGGAGATGAGTAACTGCCATAGCATAAGGGAGACCTTCTGCCTCTTTGAGGCAACGGATTTCACGTTCATTTAAGTAGACCTGGCAACGGCGGGAGTACAAAGGGCGAGCTTCATTACAATTAAGGCAAGATGGAGGTTGACTGCAAGATGTATTAGAATGGTCGTCGGCACCAGTGGGCATTCGGCCATAGATCTGCAATATTTCGCTGGGTGACCAAAACGCCAGCAATTTCTACACTGTTGCGGTGTAGGTATCACCTTTCGAACTTGTAACCGATGTCCCGCGACACAGAGGACGGGAGTTCTCGGCTGTCAAAAGTTAAACGAGCCACATTGCAAGGGTAACGTCTCCGCCCCCTCAGGGAAGGTTCCTTGATGTTGGTGAGGGGCTCTTGATTTAGGGAATTGGATCTGTGCTCCAGTTCCCCGAATTAAGCCTGAATGCCTTCCACATCCCCCCCAGTGCTGTATAATCCTACGGGTTTAGCGCTTCCCCTTGATTATAATAATAATAACGTCTCCGCCCACGGGCAGGAAGGACATAAGTGACTACTTTGAGGATTGGGAGATCCTGGAGTTCCAGCTGTTCAAGAATGTCATTGCCACATGACTGGAAATTCTGTTGGACTATGGTATGGGGCAGAATGACAGTACCACTACAGGAATTGAGAGAGAGATGTTTTTCAATAGTGATAGTAGTAGTATCGATATTCGAAAGGAGAGAAAGATCATGAGCTTGGGTAGCATTCTGGACAGTGACGATGCGCGTACCGCTTTTGAGAGCATGAAATGAAATATCTCTACCAACATGACGCAGGAGCGCTTTGCCAATACTATGGTCAGAAAGGTAGGCAGAAGAAGAAGTCGGTCTTAAAGAATTTAGTCCATTGTGTGGTCCGAAACTGAGCGTGGAGAGGGAGTGCATGACGTGTCGGTCTTTTCCGAGTAGAATGGGAAGGTAACGAAGGAGCATCATCAGGAGATTGATGTTGGCGTTTAGGAGTAGGACCGGAGTTGGTCCGGTGTGAAATGGGCAGGCGATTCGAAAATTGCCGTACCATAGAGGGAGAAGCCGGAACCATAGTCAAAGGAGAGCAGAGTTCAGACAAATCGAAGGAGTCAGTCGAAGCCCTGGTACCTGAAGCAGGTGAGGAAACAGCACCAGCAAGAGGTACAGGGGCATCAGGAGTGTCCGAAGAGTGGTCTAAAAACAAGGCAGGGTCAGAATGGGGTGCGGTATCAAGAAGGGGCCCGGGGGTAGTGGGTTCATGGATTGGGTTCTCCATGGTTAGGTTACTCCTTTGCTTTCTTTTTTTTTTTTCTTAAAAACAAAAAGAAAAGAAAATAAAAATAAAAAAAAAGAAAAAAGGGGGGGGGGAGCGGGGAGGAATAGTTCCCAGGAGGAATGAAAGGGCCGGAAATCTCCCTCCGCGCCCAAGAGGACCTCAGCACTGCTAGTAGCGCAGATGCAGCATGGAACCCGTGCCATACCCTACCCTTCATGCCAGTAAACCAGCAATCCGGGATAGCAACCTCACATCTGCCGAGCTACCTCGGTGGACAAGAGAGAGGGCGGCCAGATATCCACCACAAAGCATACCTCCTTCGGCCACCACCCCCGGAATCCGAAAGGTGGCTTCCAGAGATACACCAGTCTCCCGAAAGACACCCAAAGCTACTCTTATATCACACCCTTTACTTCATCATTCCACCAATCACTCCTCTTTCCACCTGCCCCCACCCTCTTATAACCACAAACTTCTGCCCCACATTCTAATACTGCATTTTTAAAACTATTCCAACCCTCTTCAACCCCCCCACTACTCATCTTTGCACTAGCCCACCTTTCTGCCAACAGTCGCTTATATCTCCCCGAACTTCCTCTCCTTAGTTTATACACTTTCACCTCCCTCTTACTTTTTGTTGCCACCTTCCTCTTTTCCCATCTACCTCTTACTCTAACTGTAGCTACAACTAAATAATGATCCGATATATCAGTTGCCCCTCTATAAACATGTACATCTGGAGCCTACCCCTCAACCTTTTATCCACCAAAATAATCTAACAAACTACTTTCATTACGTGCTACATCATACCTTGTATATTTATTTATCCTCTTTCATAAAATATGTATTACTTATTACCAAATTTCTTTCTACACATAGCTCAATTAAAGGCTCCCATTACATTTACCCCTGGCACCCCAAATTTACCTACTACTCCCTCCATAACATTTTTACCCACTTTAGCATTGAAATCCCCCAAACCCCCATTACTCTCACACTTGATTCAAAACTCCCCACGCATTCACTCAACATTTCCAAAATCTCTCTCTCTCCTCTACACTTCTTTCTTCTCCAGGTGCATACACACTTACTATAACCCACTTTTCACATCCAATCTTTATTTTACTTCACATAATCCTTGAATTAATACATTTATAGTCCCTCTTTTCCCGCCATAGCTTATCCTTCAATAATATTGCTACTCCTTCTTTAGCTCTAACTCTATTTGAAACCCCTGACCTAATCCCATTTATTCCTCTCCATTGAAATTCTCCCCCCCCTTCAGCTTTGTTTCACTTAAAGCCAGGACATCCAGCTTCTTCTCATTCATAACATCCAAAATCATCTCTTTCTTATCATTTGCACAACATCCACGCACATTCAGACTTCCCACTTTGACAATTTTCTTATTCTTTTTAGTAATCTTTACAGGAAAAGGGGTTACTAGCCCATTGTTCCCGGCATTTTAGTTGACTTTTACAACACGCATGGCTTACGGAGGAAAGATTCTTATTCCACTTCCCATGGATATAAAGCTGGATTCTGGTGACCAAATCTTTTTCTGCATGCCTCTTCCACATTAAGGTCTCCGTCTGTGCCTTGGTGCCTTTCATTCACCCCGTTGAGAACCTCTATGCAGCAGCGAATATTCCATCCTTGTCTGATCGCCGTGATGCTCATTGCCTTCGCTATTGTGTTCAAAACTCATGACCTCCACAATCCTTCCCATATATAGGATGGTCACTGATGTTAGTAGACATTCTTTATTTGTTCATCGCCCCTTTTCTTTCCACCTCCATTAGCTCGTCTTCTCTTCAGTTACCACCTTTCTATGTTCATGTAGCATCTCAATTTTCCCTGCCCCTTGGGAATTCCAGCTGTTCGAGTCTGTTCTTTCCCATTGCCATGTGCAAAAGCCCAACTCCCTATGGAGGCTTCCCGCTCTCTTTTTCGTGACCACTTCTGCTCTCATTCTCTTGTCATTGCAGTGTACACGATGGTTGCAAGTCTTCTGACGGCGTCAGATTCGCAGCAGTGTCGTGCGAGGACATTTATCCTTGGCTAGCATTTTTTATGACTGCATTGTATGCCATTGTTTGAAGCACTTATCCATATAGCATCTATGCCCACGTCACCATTTGTGGTAATTTTAGACTCCCTTAGTGCTTTACAGGCTATACGAAAATTTGATAACCTCACTCCCTAGTTCTTCGTGTCCAACTTTGGCTATACCTTATCTCTAGCAAACACAAAGATATTTGTTTTTTGCTGGGTCCCTGGTCATGTTGATGTACAAGGCAATGAACAGGTAGACACTACTGTGCAGTCATCAGTACATGACCCTCCAGTTTCACATAGAAGTGTTCTATTCACAGACTATTTTGCTGAAATTGCTACCCACCTTCACACCCGTTGGCAACAACGTTGGTCTGAACTGCTCCATAACAAACTTCATTCTACTAACCCGAGTACCGTATAGGTTTCTGGCCGTCTTCTAGTCATCAATGTTGGGGTTGGGAGACTACTCCCGTCATCATCTCTGCTCTGCTGCCCTTCTGTACCTTCCCTTCTTGCTGATGGACCCTCCTTTAATCCAGACTCTCTCAATGACTTCTTGACAGCGACTGATTTACTACACAAACTGATGATGCCTCTAGCACTCTCCTCCATCCTTTCTACCTTAATCTCTTGTACCTTCTACCCCTGCACTATCCACTGCCCACTACACTACATACCCTAATATACATCCCTCTCCCTCTTGCTGCCCATTTCCCCTGTATCCTTCCCTGCCCTGCTGCACTGTATAACCCTTGTGGTGTAGCACTTCCTTTGATTATAATTTAAAACCCCAATTTTAATGTATACAGTTGGAGCAGATCAACCTCGAAGCATTTTTCATGTAGTTCCCACACTTCTAGTGTAGGAAGTGATGGTGGTGCTTTGGCACTGTTGTACTTGTCTTCTACAATACAGTACAAGCGTGCAGCAAGGCCTGACAACACTGCGAGATTCAAACCCCTTAAGGTTCCTTGAAGCTGGTGCAGGGCTTTTGATTTTAGGTTATTTGATCTGTACTCCAGTTCCCTGAATTAAGCCTGAATACCTTACACCCCCCCCCACAGGCACTGTATAATCCTACGGGTTTAGTGCTTCCCTTTGATTATAGTAATAATGTGCGATGCAACTCCTCACTACCACACTTCATGTTGACTAGTACTTCATGTTGCAAGCTATGCAATATGAAGTACTAGTCAACTACTACTACTGTTGCCTTGACCATTTGCAATTTTTGCAAAGTACTAGTCAATTATTTCTAACATTTGCAAACGTAAATGAAAGGGAAAATATCCCCACCATTTATGCCAAAAGAGATGCTGAGTTCTTAGTCACGCAATCACCCTATTTTGTGAGTAGGATCTCTTCCAAGGAAGAGGTCCCTAATCCTAGGCACAAACCTCACTGCCAAATTAAGGCGACCATGTTGGGGAAATGTGAAACATTTGTATGACTATAGGATGAACAAAGGTTTTTCAGAATAAAATACTGAAAATGAAGTGGTTATCACTATATATTTTTAAACTGTGATGCACATAATAGGAACATAGATTTATATTAAAAGTGGATTTATGTCGGGAAGAAAATTAATTTTGTAATGTTTACTGTGTCTTGAATCATGTTCTGACATTTCTGAAAAAGCTGTTTATAAGACTGGAATGAAAGTGAAAATCTCTCTACTCACTCCTTGGGATATTTAAAACAATGAACTTTTAAACCGTGAGATATATGCAACTTCTGGTTTATCATAGGAGCACTGAACTTGAACTCGCACAAACTTTCAAGAACTGTTTTCTGCAGTAATGTAATATTTGTGGACACCTACTGCTAATTTTAATAACTGGGTGGAATATTTACAATCTTTCAAATTGTTCAGGCACTTGTCTTCTCCAAGGCTTGGTTTGAATGACACATTAAGGAATGGCAGATATGCCTGAAAGGAATGAATGATATTTAGAAATTTTACACAAAAGGGTAAAAAAAAAACTGACAGAAGGTAAAGGAGAAAATAACGAAAGAAAAATGTAAGGTTTAGCATCATATAAAAATGTAAATGGTTCTGCAGTGAATGTAGCCAAACATGACCCATTAAGTTGGAAGATTAATCTTCCTTTACTCTTCAACCAAGGGATAACAAGGGGTCAAATGCCTATGATACAAATTGCAGTACCTCACATTGAAAAAATTTCAATAGTTGCCATTACTTTGATTCAATACTAGCAATTGCAGAGAGCAAACTAAACAATCTAAGATGTTTGACAATTTGCATCATATAATCATCCTATTAATGAAATGCAGGTGCTGTATTATTTTTCCAGATGACACATGTAAAAAATATAAAAATACAAATTCTTCACTGGCTTTCAGTGTTAATGTGTCAAAGAAGATAACTACACAAAAAGATAACTATTCTCAAGATACTACTTTTTTTTTTACATTCTTATACCTGCTTAGTCAGTTCTTCGTACAAATTTAGTCATCAATAGTCCACTAACCGAATTCTACCAATTCGTCCCCAATCATCTCTGAAACAAAAAAAATATAAACGGTAAATATGAAAATTGTATGAACCGAGACTCTGCTATCTACCAGTAAAACGAAAGCATCAGTAATCAGATGTAAAGCTAAACCTGTCCCTGAATGATAATTTAGATAATACAGCATTAGCATTTTCTCTATGGCATAACCACATACTCTTCAAATTAAAGCTATGATTATTTTTTTTTTACCTTTGGTTCCTTTTTTCTGATCATGTGTGCCAGTATGGGGCTTTTGATCTAAGGAATTGGACCTGGTCAACCCTTTCCTTAGACTGAACCTGAATGCCTTTCATTCCTCCTAGTACTGCATGACCCTTATGGGTTTAGCACTCGCCAGATGACTAATATAGAAATGAGTGCCATAAACCTATTTTTTTTTTTTTTTTTTACATTTTTTGGGGCAATTCAAACTGAGCTATAACTAAAAAATATAGCTTAGTTGGCTGTCACATGTAGAATCTTTTCTCATGAAACACTGTAATACAGTGTCAAGGCAAAGTCCATTTAAAATCCACAATAGGATGAGGAAAAGAGCTCTCATTTTCAGTACTAGACCAACTGGATGTTGATTACTTGGGCAATACTAGCACAAGTAGGAAACAGAACAACAAAGAGACTAGTTGGATGTTAGTTAATTATATTTCACCTCTTTTCAAAAAGTACAATAGCCAAGTAGACAACTCCTACATGTCATATTACATAGCATAATAAAGAAACTAGTAGGCCTACTGGCCCATATTAAGCAGGTTCTATTTCTGTAACCAATCACCAAGTTATCCTACCACAGCTATCAACACTTAAGCTACCACCACAGTCATCACCTAAGCTATACCACAGCCATCACCTAAGCTATCAGCACAGCTATTATCACCTAAGCTACCACCACAGTCATCACCTAAGCTATCAGCACAGCTATCACCACCTAAGGTATCACACCACAGCCATCACCTAAGCTATCACACCACAGCCATCACCCAGGTTATCACACCACAGCCATCACCTAAGCTACCACCACAGCCATCACAGAGATGATCCGACAGAAGAATCATCTGGCTGATTTCTCATGAAAGAATGACAAATTTAATCCAGACCTACAGTAATCATCCTCATCAAATATAATATTTCTCATTAATCTGAACATGGTCTTGTATCTATAAAAACACAATTGGGGAAACAGAATTAAAGTGGTAATTGCAGCTCCTAGATTCACTGGTACCTCAAGGGCCAAATGTTCCAGAAAGGGTAACCAAACTACTACCACAGAAAGAGTAACTAGTCTACAAATGTATACCTTAAAGAATGCAACCAAGCACAGTAATTGCCAATCCAATGTCTAGTAGAAGAAATTAGCAAAAATATTTGCCATGTCACAAATTCAGTTTACAGCTTTGGCTAAGCCAGAGGATGATCGCTTTAGTACAGGAGATATTTCTCACGACAAAGTTTTCCCATTCCACCTTACTAAGATATAATACCCAACCAATGGAACAGATATTTTTGATAAGTCCAATGGCTGTCTGTGTCACCACCTTCCATGATTTATTCTTGACTTAAATAACTATTTTACAGCAATTTGTTTCTCACTCCATTTCCCTTGAAAAGTATACAATCTATTTTATAGGTTGTATTAATTTCCATTTATAAATTCCTGAAGTGAAACTGCAAGTTTAGACAATTATCATACTATACAAGCCTTACCTGTCTTCTTCATTAAAATTCTGTCCATGCTGTTGTCTTCTGTTTGCTTGTGTATTGTAATCCCTTTGATAACGCTCCCTGTAGTCTCTTTGCTGGCCTTCTCTCTGTGGGTTATCTCTGTGATAACTACGATGCTGGTAATCCCTTTGGTAGCCATGCTGGTAATCTCTTACATAGCCATGTTGATAATCTCTGAACACTTGCACGTCTTGCTCTGGCCGATCCCAATCTCTTTCTCTCTCCTGATCCCGAAATTTCTTTCTCCTGAAGCTGGTACCAGCATTTGTTGCACTATTACTACTGGAGTTATATTCCCTACCTCTGCTTCTGCTACGACTTCTTCTGTTACCAGGATAACGGTCTCTGTCACGATCCCTGTGAAAAGGTACCAACAAGCTTAAACATTTATCACTCTTCCCCACTTTCATGGGTCGTATAGCACAGCCAAACGAAATTAAAGACAAGAGAAAGGGTGAGCTATCCAGTGATGCACTACCTTTCACATTACCTACTACACTGCATAATTGAAAAAACAAAAACAAAAACTCAGGTTAAGAAACACATGCTGCAGAGTAACCTTTTATTGGGAGAACACTGCACTGTGCACAGCTTAATTCATGCTTTGATAAAGCTCTACACAGCATAACATTCCTCAAATAAATATTGCTCTGCAACGTGCCTTTTCTTCACTACTGTCAGCAGTATGCCATTTAGATCCAGCTCAAACGCTATGCATTGCAACATATACAAAATGTCTATCACTGATTGCAAGTAAACAAGCTACTAATCTTCTCACAAAAATATACATATTTTTTAACAAGTCAGCCATCTCCCACCAAGGCAGGGTGACCCAAAAAGAAAAAATCCTCAAAAAGAAAATACTTTCATCATCATACAACACTTTCACTTCACTCACACATAATCACTGTCTTTGAAGAGGCATCCAGATACAACAGTTTAGAAGCATATATAACATACCCCTCCAAACTGCCAATATCCCAAACCCCTTCTTTGAAGTGCAGGCATCGTACTTCCCATTTCCAGTACTCAAGTCCGGCTATATAAAAATAACTGGCTTCCCTGAATCCCTTCACTAAATATTATCCTGCTCACACTCCAACAGCTCGTCAGGTCCCAAAAACCATTCATCTCCATTCACTCCTATCTAACATCTCTCACATGCTTGCTGGAAGTCCAAGCCCCTCACCCACAAAACCTCCTTTACCCCCTCCCTCCAACCTTTTCAAGGACGACACCTACCCCGCCTTCCTTCCCCTACAGATTTATACGCTCTCCAAGTCATTCTACTTTGATCCATTCTCTCTAAATGACCAAACCACCTCAACAATCCCTCTTCAGCCCTCTGACTAATACTTTAAGCAACTCCACACCACCTCCCTATAATTTTTACAATCTCTTTTGTCCCTCTTCCCGTTATATAAAGGAACTATACATGCTCTCTGCCAATCCCTAGGTGCCTTCCCCTCTTTCATACATTTATTAAACAAAAATACCAACCACTCCAACACTATATACCCCCTTGCTTTTAACATTTATGTCATGATCCCGTCAGTTCCAGCTGCTTTACCCCTTTTCATTCTACGTAATGCCTCATGCACCTCCCCCCACATTCGCATCCTGCTCTTCTTCACTCCTAAAAGATGCTATACCTCCCTGGCCAGTGCATGAAATTACTGCCTCCCTTTCTTTGTCAATATTTAGAAGTTCCTCAAAATATTCCCACCATCTACCCAATACCTCCAGCTCCCCATCAACTAACTCCCCTACTCTGTTTTAACTGAACTTCACTCTTTCCCTAGGCTTTCTTAACTTGTTTATCTCACTCCAAAATTGTTCTTTTCTGCAAAATTATTTATTAACGCTCTCTCTCTCAATATGATATGGCTTTCTAGCAAGTCTGATAATCTATGCTAATAAGGCAATAATGGCCCATTACATTGTGAAGGGCAGTGAAATTGAGGCAGCTTGCTTGTACTGACAGTGTACAACCAATGATAATTCCACAAGCAAAGCTTATCATAACATGAAGAAAGTACACAAGGAAAACATGTAATATTCCTGATCTATTATGTTCTCTTCAAAAAATTATCCCTAGTCCTTCAAAAATTATCGTTACCATCTCACTCCAGGGCTGTGCGATTTTGATCTCCTCCTATATGACTCGCGATATCTCTCGGGAGGAGGATCCCAGTGAGAAGAATTCCACTGACGATGTTGGGTGTCCCTATTCCAGTCAGCAGAGGGATTGCGTTCCCTGCCACGAATAGTATCACCAGCCCATCTGCCCGACGTAGTCTGCAATAAAATTGGAAGGTGCAATTTTTGAGGGAGGGGGGGAGTAGTAGTAGTAAGAAAGGGTTAACCAAATGTGACCAAATTTACAATGATGTTCATGGTATGTAAATGTGAATAGTAAAGTAGAATTTTACTGTTCATTAATGGTGTTCCTTATAAGACTATGCAAAACACACTACTCTAAACCTGAAAAATGTTTTAAGGTTATGAGAACATTATTTTTTTTTTTTTACCATTATGGATAACAGTAAAATAATTTCTCCTAGCAATTCTTTGAGAGTAACATGTTTTTAAATGGCAGAAGAATTTATTTTAAGAGGGATATAAATGGTTTGATCAGAATGTTAAACATTACTGATGATAATGTTAAGATTCACAAAAAATCCTAAATTTCCTTTCCCCACTAAGTTTTTTTTAATTACAAAAGCACTGAAATTCAACTCGTGTCATACTTACCCAACAGCAATGACAAACTCAAGCCAAGGAATATGTCTCAATTGTCACCGACCTGCTTTGGATGTAAAGGGGATTTTGACCGAGATTTTGATCTCTGATGAGATTTCGACCTTTGACGAGATTTCGACCTTTGTCTTGATTTTGACCTAGACCTTGAGCGGGACACAGATCGGGAAGCAGAGCCTGAATGAGACCTTGATCCATCAGAGCTTGAATCTCCTTCTTGAAGCCGATGCCTCTTTTCCCGCTCCCTTCAGCATGTGAGAATTCCATGTAAAATTGGTCTTGTGAACACCATACTGGTGGCTAATAACTATGAAATCTAATTCTTGTATTTATAACTTTCCATATTATGCATTCTGATATAAGACAGTTTATATTTCAAAATACAAAATTATTTTTTTTATAAAATAAAACAATGAAAGTAAACAAAGGGGGTGAGAGACGAAGCTTGACTCTAACCTCCGTCTTAGCCTGATGGCCATTTCTCTTAATTCTTCTTCTCTATCCTGACGCTCTTGCTCTGCCTTTTCTGCTCGCTCTCTTTCAAGCCTTTTGTCAGCCTTGACTGAGAATTGTGTTAAAATCAGTTTTCAAAATTAAAGCAAGAATTCATATGTATTATAAAACAGTACCCAAATATATGCTAAGAGCATAGCCTGATGTGTGTATAGGACGACCCCCCAGCCTTCTGTCAAAAAACTTCACTTTAAACCTACCCTAGTTTTTGAGTAACAGCAGAACAATATTTGTAAATTAAATTATGGTACATCCAAGTCAGTCGGGTCCTGCAGTGTTCATTTATTCTTATGTTTTTGAGTCCAAAACTTACAGTAATTAATAAATTTCAAACTTTGAAAAATATTACCCATGAATAAGTGAATACCTCTCCTTGGCAACAAGGCAGGGCATAAAACAGTCCATATTAGAGTACATTTGGTACTTAAAACATCTGGCATTATAGAAATTAAGGTTCACTTAAATTTAAAAGTTTAGCTACCAAAGAATGGAAAAGCAAGATCATTAAACTTGCTACAAGTCTTAACTATCAGCTATCATTTATTCATTTCCTTCAGACTACAAAACATCCATTTATATTGAAATTATATATAAAGACTATTAACCCATTGACTGTCGCAACCCCCAATCCTGAGGTGTCTCCTGGTGTCGCAAAATTTAAAAAAAAAAAAAATTATTTTTTCTAATGAAATGATAGAGAATCTTTTCCCGATTGTAATGACACCAAAAAAAACGAAATTTGATGGAAAACTGACGGAATTAAGCTCTTGCGAAGTTAACGACCTCGGCGCTGTTTACAAATTGGCAATTTCGCCCACTTTGAGCCCTATTTTCGGCTAATTCCATTGTTCCAGTCGCCCAAACTCATAACTATTTCTTTAGAACTCCATTTTGTCTATCGATTGAGTACAAGAAACTGCCCATTTACCGATTTCAACTACCTAATAATGTGGTCAGAAATTTGCAATTTGGCCAATTTCACGAAAACTAAAAAATATGACAATTTCAAAATAAGGTCCAGAATGAACAATGCAGACATTCCTGGCTCTAAAATAACATTTTCTTTGCTCATCAGCCATGTCTCCAGGCCCCTCTGATATTACTCTTGCTTTCTATTTTGAATTTTTATTCAAACAAAAAATAGAAGACTTACTATTATGCAGACTACTGCAATACTGTAATAATTGTATAAATAACATCAACCCATTCATGACTGCATATTAGAATGGCTAGTTGGACATTTATTGGACAATGGCATCATTTGTTTACTTTTGAACATTGGCAAAAATCAAACATTTCCCCTACTTTGAGCTCCATTTCTAGGTTCTTTTTATAGTAAAATCAATCAAAATCACCTCTATTTCTATAATATGTTTTCCATTCTATCAAATGAGACCAAGAAAACGAGAATACAACCATAAATACTATACGAAAATAGACCACAAATTCGACATTTCAATTAAAAAAAAAACGGTTGGAGTTTTTTTTTTCTCATTATGCACTGCGTGCTCCAGGATTTTTTTTATATGGTGCACACTGACCACACAGACCCATTCTCTCACATGTGGGCCTACCAGCTTTCTCCTGCTTGATTTGAAGCCGCTAGAATTTATGAGTATATATACGTCAAACACGGTACCTCGTAAGACGTATATATACGGCCGCGACAGTCAAAGGGTTAAAAAAAAAAAAAAAAAAAAAAAGTTATGCACCAAGGTAGGGTGTTCCAATTCGAAAAGAGGAAAAATTTTCACTGCCACTCATTCAATTACTGTCTTGTCAAATCATGAAAACCCCTTGCCTCTACTCTCTTATCTTATGAACTCGCAAAAACCTTTGATATACCTCTGATGAGTTTTGAGAATCTTTGTACTCTGGGAGCCTGGCCATGGGCCAGCCTATTCGTTGTTCAAGCCCCTAGCACTCAAAACCTCCTTTACCACTTCCCTCTAACCTTTCCTGGGATGAACCCTACCCCATCCTTTCTACCACACTAAATATATACACCATTTAGTCATATTTTGCTCCATCCTCCCTGAATGCCCAAACTGCCTCAACATCTCTTGTCAGCCCTCTGAATAATACTTTTAGTAACCCCACATCGAATCTCCAAACTCATTCTTTTCATAATACAGTGGGCCCTTGAGTTATGATGGGCTTGAGTTGTGATAATTTTGAGTTATGATTTACCCTTCAAAGAAATTTAGTTTCGAGTGCGACAAAAAATTTGAGATAGTGTATATGAGGGTCGGTGGGTGAAGTGAGCCCAGAGACAAGACAGGGTGATAAAACTGTCTTAACCCTTTCAGTGGCCATCACATAAAACTACATCACTGAGTCCAAGGGCCCTTAGTTCAAATTCATGGGCTCAGCTCATAAAGACAAGCCGAGTGGTAAATTTGGGCCTAGATACGAGAGAATGGGTCTGTGCAGCGAGTGTGCAAAGTATAAAAAAAAAAAATCCCGACCCACAAGGTGAACGACGGTAAAAGCAAAACTAACCACGTGAATGGTTTAAAATAGTGACTTGTGTTTTCTAGGATGGTTTTTATGAATTCATTGGCTGTTTCATAGTATCATTTGATAGAAAGAAAGACGTACTACTTAACCCGTAAACAGTCCAAGCAGATCTACGTTCACATGTGCAGTGCTAAAAAAAAAAAAAAAAAAAAGTAGATCAAAGTTTTTTTACACATTTTCAAATGTAGAAAAACAAAAAGAAGATCTACTTTTCTTACATACTTTCAAATGTTGAAAAAACGTATACATGTATATACGTTTCGACCATTTACGGGTTAAATAGCAATGAATTTAACTGGTGTTTCAGAACTGTAAGTAGCTTGAAATTGGGCTCGAAGCAGCAAAAATATTCAATTTTTGTGAAATTTCCAGAGGATGGGTAAGGGCCCCCCTCTTACAACCCCCCCCCCCCCAAGTCTGTTTTATAGATTTTTAATAGGCCAGACTCAGTTATTGGGATGCCATAAACCATGACTAATCATTCCTGGTTATATTTTATTATCTGGGAAGAAGAGAAAATTTTCTAATTTTGTGTGATTATGAATTCAAAATGGAAGGCAAGTGTAATATAAGAGGCCTGGGAATGTGATTAATGAACAGAGGAAATGTTTTAGTGCCAGGAATATCTATATTGCTTATTTTGCACTATTTTTAAATTGGTATCTTTAATTTTGAGTAAAATTGACCAAATTATTGACTTCTGTGCACTTTACATGTAATAGTTGAATGGGCAATTTCTTGTGGGTAATCAATATGGGAGGCATACTACCAAACATTTAAGAATTAACAGTCTTCTGTGATGTATTCTATCAAAGGCCTTACTGAAATCCAAGTAAACATAATACAGTGGACCCCCGCATAACGTTGGCATCGCATAGTGCTAAATCCGCATAGCGATACATTTTATCGCTAAAATTTTGCCTTGCATAGTGCTAAAAAATTCGCTCGACGCGATTCATCCAAGACACGTCCATGCGGCCTGAGCCAGCCTCATTTGTTCTGCCAGTGGCATTGTTTACAAGCCAACCTCCGCGGTAACATTTAAGCATGCAATTGGAACATTTCATATTACAGCCTTTTTATAGTGATTTCACCTGAAAAAAAGTGACCATCGGCCCCAAGAAAGCTTCTAGTGCCAACCCTACAGGAATAAGGGTGGGAATTACTATGGAGATGAAGAAAGAGATCATTGCTAAGTATGAAAGTGGAGTGCGTGTCTCCGAGCTGGCCAGGTTGCATAGTAAACCCCAATCAACCATCGCTTCTATTGTGTCCAAGAGAACGGCAATCAAGGAAGCTGTTCTTGCCAAAGGTTTAACTGCGCTTTCGAAACAGAGATCGCAAGTGATAGATGTTGAGAGACTGTTATTGGTGTGGATAAACAAAAAACAGATAGCAGGCGATAGCATCTCTCAAGCGATCATAAGTGAAAAGGCTACGAAGTTGCACGAGGATTTAATTAGAAAAATGCCTGCAACTAGTGGTGACGCGAGTGAATTTAAGGCCAGCAAAGGTTGGTTTGAGAGATTTAAGAGGCGTAGTGGCATACATAGTGTGATAAGACATGGTGAGGCTGCCAGTTTGAACCAAAAAGCAGCTGAAATTTTTTTTTTTTTTTTTTTTCAACAAGTCGGCCGTCTCCCACCGAGGCAGGGTGACCCAAAAAAGAAAGAAAATCCCCAAAAAGAAAATACTTTCATCATCATTCAACACTTTCACCACACTCGCACATTATCACTGTTTTTGCAGAGGTGCTCAGAATACAACAGTCTAGAAGCATAAACATATAAAGATACACAACATATCCCTCCAAACTGCCAATATCCCAAACCCCTCCTTTAAAGTGCAGGCATTGTACTTCCCATTTCCAGGACTCAAGTCCGACTATATGAAAATAACCGGTTTCCCTGAATCCCTTCACTAAATATTACCCTGCTCACACTCCCAACAGATCGTCAGGTCCCAAGTACCATTCGTCTCCATTCACTCCTATCTAACACGCTCACGCACGCTTGCTGGAAGTCCAAGCCCCTTACCCACAAAAACCTCCTTTACCCCCTCTCTCCAACCCTTTCGAGGACGACCCCTACCCCCGCCTGCCTTCCCCTATAGATTTATATGCTTTCCATGTCATTCTACTGTGATCCATTCTCTCTAAATGACCAAACCACCTCAACAACCCCTCTTCTGCCCTCTGACTAATACTTTTATTAACTCCACACCTTCTCCTAATTTCCACACTCCGAATTTCTGCATAATATTTACACCACACATTGCCCTTAAACAGGACATCTCCGCTGCCTCCAACCGTCTCCTCGCTGCTGCATTTACCACCCAAGCTTAAACACCCATATAAGAGTGTTGGTACTACTATACTTTCATACATTCCCTTCTTTGCCTCCATAGATAACGTTTTTTGACTCCACATATACCTCAACGCACCACTCACCTTTTTTCCCTCATCAATTCTATGATTAACCTCATCCTTCATAAATCCATCCGCCGACACGTCAACTCCCAAGTATCTGA